GCAGGACTGGCCTTTTTTTCTGGTACTCCGGGGGAAAAAATGCATGTCTCTGGTCTACAAATAGAACTGATGAAAAAGAGCCCTGTGCTCAGGGAGGAACAGGGAGTAATGCTGAGCTCATATATTTGCTCAGCCTAATAAAATGCCGTCTTTTTCTTGAAATACTTCTCTACAAATCACATCAGTGACTAACTACTGCTTACTCTGCCTTGTGGACGAGGGATTAACTGCACTGACTTTTTATCAGTAAAATGGTTGTTCTCCTATTAACGTCACATGGAAAGTTACAAGGGAAACTCCCGAGCCTAAGAAAACAGCTGTGTGCTGTTTTAACCACTGAGCTTGCATTTAACTTGGGGTATTTTCATCCTTTAGAGCACACTTTGTGAAAGCCAGCTCTGAGTGTTGAGGTATGTATTACCATTCCCGCTGCACTCAGCAAACTTCCTGTGTGCTCAGCACTTTAACACAGAAGCAATATTTTGTTATGAGGGATACGGATCCCAAAAGTAGAGTTTGTAATGTGAAAGCAGAAGAGAAGAGGGACTATAAGATCACTGTTGGGGCCATTTATGGAAACCCCATCACAGAAAACTCTGGTATTTCAGGCCTGAGGGTAAATGGGGACATTATCTTGGTATGTAAATACATTTTAACAACAAACAGTAAAACACTAGATATGATCCCTTTCTTTCTGATAACAAAATAATCTGTCACACAACTCTTTACTGTGCTTAATGTCTTTCTCTTCTTATTTCGTACATGTGAAAATAGGCAGGGAAAAGAAGATAATAATGTAAAGGCAGGCTTATTTCTGGAACTAACATTATAAGGAGCCATTTGTTTCTTCCCAGCTAGGACAGTACTTGTGTAATTGGGAGAAAAAAATGTCATAATGTGGCTAACTGGCTCCTGCTACTGAAGTCTGTGCCAGAATTGTCAGGGTGGTGCTGCTTGTGGGGTGGTGTTTCTACTTTCTCGTGCATTGAACCAGCACGACTCTTAACATAAATAAAACCCAGGGAACAAGGTCCGTTCCCATAGCCATGGTTTACCCAAACCTCCTGCTGAAGGCAGTGACCTCTTGATACAGGCAGAGATAGTAGGATGGTGGGGTGTGAAACCCTGGATTTGTCAAGGACATGTTTATACTTGGAAATAGGCTGGGGATGAAGATGAGTTCCTTCCCTATTCCGCTCTATCCACTTATAAAAGGTGGATAAATCTGAGTGTTTCCTGAACCGCAGCATTCCAGTTCAAACAGACCAACAAACAAAAAAGGTGATTTGTTCCAAGATGGCAATTATCTGTATTTGTCTGAGTTGGTCCGTGCCTTGTGGGACCTGTAGTTCAGGGCTGGTAACTTCCACAGTCTGGTCTCTTCCCTGGTCAAACATCAGTCTCAATCTGTTTTGTGCAGAGTTTCCTTGACCAACAGTTCTCCTGACAGCTACTGGTTCCTACAGAAAGCTGTTTTCCAACAAGGAAATAATTGCCTTAATTTTTTTGGCCAATACTATTTTCAGGATGGCAGGGACAGCACAACAAATCAGCTAGGGAAAACACTGAGCCAGAAAATGAGTGTTTAAATTATGGTAGTGACTATTTCTTTTCATGTATAGCTTTCCCTACTCACAGCTTAGGTGTGAACTAATGATTAATCACAGATACAAAAGAATCTTTGTGCTTTGTTGGCACCTTTCCCAAAGGATACTCTCAAAGCAGTCTGTACAGAATGAGTTCCCTCATATTTAACCTACATAGTTTGCAGACGAGATGCAAGACTCGTCACTCAAGACCATGCAGAATTCTGTGACAAAGGATAAAATCCAGGTTTCCTGAATGTCAGATTTGTCTGATGGTTCTTTTTTTTTTTTTTCTGACTGCAACAAAAGAGAGTAAGTTCCAAGGCAGAGCACAGAAAGAGGGAATAAATTCTAAGACACAGCTTCCACCTCTTTATGCTCCTCAGATGCTCTCCACGCTTTGGGTGGAACCGTTCTGTGACTGAACTTGCAGAGCTGCAAAAGCCTGGGGCTAACCAAGGCTAATTTTAAACCATCCCTCCTTATCTCTGTCATTGGTAGAGTGATTTCTAGAAGGAGCTATTTTTGTTTGACAGAGGGAGCCAATACAGCTCTGTTGTCAGCAACCAGTTTGGCCAGAACCAATCAATCACTGTAATTACCTGCCTCAGGACTCCTTTTTGACTGGCTTTGCCTTCCTGGCTTAGGAGATGCATTACCTCAGCACAGCTTAATAACATGCCTGCTGTTGATTTATGCTGCTCGAGGCTAGACAATTCCTGCCTGACAGCAGCTCCTAAGCCCTGCCTGCAGAACCTGTATGGCAGCCAAGCCACACATTTGCACAAGGGAAGCAAGCAGACACGTGTAGAAAGTGATAGCACAAAAACTGCTGCTGGTCCCGCTTAGACTGGTGTCCAGGGGACACAGTTTTCTTCTCTTGCTCCTGCTATGGGAAGGGAGAAGACTTGCATACAGCAAGATCTTGCAGCAAAACCCTTCAACATCCTTATAGCTACCAAAATCCACAGCTTGCTGACCAGCTGGTTCTGCTGATGGAAGGATGCAGAGTGGCTCGTTTAAGCCTTTGAAGCAGGTGTCGCAAGTCTGAGAAAAGATATTACTCATTTTGGAATTCAAACTGACAAGATGCCCAGCTTTTCTTAATATTAAGGATGGTTTTTACTGATCCCTAGAGGAGAAGGATTTGGAGGGCAGACAAGTGCTAAAGTGCTTCCCTTTAATTAGGCTTTTCTTTCATAAAGGCATTAGCAGAGAGTTGTAGCTGTAAAAAAGCAGCTTAGCAAGATCAGGATGATACAGAATGTAGTAGTTTTACTTCAGTCACCTCCTTCACTAGTAACTTGTCTCTTGCATGCCATGGTTTCAATCCCAATGGGCTCCTTTCTGTGTAGAACTGAGCAATTCCAAGGAGCAAGAGACATGTGTACCTCTGGTCAAACTAGGATGCTGCCATGAGGCTTGCCAGCCACAAATACAACACAGTGAATACTGAGACTAAGGACTCTTGGGCTAAATAAATTTAAGTCAGCACTAAAGCAAGAAGCAAACATTGGCTAGGGCTAAGCAGGTTGGCATTTACTTTGATTGAGGATGAAATGCTTTATAAACATGTGTGTTTAGTTATTTTACAGTGAGCAGCAAAGCTGGCCTTTCATGGGCTGCAAGGAATTAAATGAAAACAAATCACAACTCTGACAAATAGACAACTTGCTAAAGGTGACTTAAATTCAGAAAAATTCATAATCAAGGTTGCTGGAAAAATTTCTAAGCAGAAACTTGAAGAAAACAGGTGCTTCACAGCTTCTGATTTTTGTATCTCAACAAAAACTTTTTACTTAGACTAAAACAAACATTTCAGTCTCTTAGTGTTTAAAGGGTTCTAACACAGTCCTAGCAGCCAACAAGTTTATGCAGAATGTCCTGTTATTTTCACTGGAGCTGGAGAGGGTGGAAGGAGGGAGAAGACACCTCTAATCAGTGGGAAAATTCTTTCTGTATGGAGCAGAAACACACATTCATTATGCTAAGTAAACTATCCTACTAGTATTTAGGCAAGTCAGATACTAAAATGAAGGCACACAGTGCTCATTCCAAACTAATTCCTTGGGCTTTCCTACAGACCTTAGTGCAGATCTGCTGTATGGTGCATCTCCTGTGCTCAAGCTGGATGGCTGAGGTATCTCTGAACAGTGCTGTAAAATTTTTCCTACAGCCATACCCTAAAATGAGATCTCTTCCGTGCTGCCCCATCAACAGACACTAAATACCAGGTGCTCACTGCCTACCCTGCCTATCCACTGTGGGTAGGCAAAGAATATCCTGGAAAAGATTTCAGTGTATGTAGTCTATATGGAAAGAAGAAAATGAGAGAAAATACATGGGAGTTATCAAGAAAACTCTCATAATTGCTCCAACAAAGCTCCTATCTCTGTGCAGCATGTGCAATTTTCTTGTATTATCTTCCTGCACAGCCTATAAAGCATAACTATGGAAAAGCTGAGCAAGCAAACCTCTTTATAAATTGACTTGGAATGGTTTCACAGATCTTCCTCTCTTGCTCAGAAGGCAAAAAATCAATTTATTCTTATCAAGGAAAATGAAATTATAACATGGAAATAAAAACATTAGACGATGTCTTCCAAAGGTCTGATACGAAAAAGGCTGACTTGTGGGTGATGTGGGGGAAAACCACACAACAGACAGCCTTGCCAATCTCAATTAGGTGAGAGTTTAAACCAGTAAACAACTTCCCGGAGAGCCATCATCTGCTCACATAAAATGGATATTAATGCTGTGCTTTAAGCTCTAAAGGTAAGGAGGATGCTGATATCTGGAGCTGTTGAACTGGGGATAGAGGGACTGAAAGAATTTCTTTTTGGTTTTCTAATACTTCCTTTGTTAATCCTTTTCAGACACCAGGGTACCTGGCAGGTATCCTGTGAAGGTAAAATGAGGGAGTGGCAGAAGATGAGGAGAACTTAAGAAGAACAGCAGCAATAAGCGAGGACCCCATAATGCAATAATGCAGTAATGGCTACATCATGGAGCTGCTGCAGTTCTCACTTTTAACAAAAAAAAAATTAGATAAATATCAAGTGCACTTTTAAAAGGTTTAGGTTTAGCATTAAAACATCCTCATGATCATCATCCTCTTGTTTCCTCACTCTTACAAGTATGGCCCTTGTCACATCAATCATTGATTCCTGTTTGTAGGACTACTCCAGCAAGACAGTATATAATTTTTAATTAAACAAAAATTACTTGGGCAAATTATGTAACTGTTCATTAATAACTGGGAGAGTTCATCTGGCTGCAGCAGCTCTTTGAAACATATAATGTGAGAGTGCCACAGGCCAAATGTGCTTCAGCCTGGGAGGAACCAGAATCACACACTTCTCTCAGGACACTTGAGCTGCTCTGGAGCTATGAAGTAAAAGCAAATGCACACACCTTGTTAGCCACAGCTGGACCATCAATACACCTCTGCATGGAGGGTGGCACCTGGTAAATATCTTGTCCCACCAGACCATGACCAGTGGGTATCTGGTAAATTCCCTGATTCTGGTGGGAAGGCGGCACTTGGTAGACAGGGTCCCGCGCCGAGGCATGCGAGCTTGGAACTTGGTAGATCTTTTGGTGGTTGAAGGGCTGATTCATCAATCCTGAGCTGGGCATATCCTGGCCAGGAGGACTGTCCTGTACCACGGGACCTATGAGGAGTTTCACACGGTTGCCGGGGACGATGCCTTGCCGGCCGTGTAAGGAGCAGAGCCACCATCCTTCCAGCCCCTCGGTGTTCTGTTCTATCACCGTCAGGATGTCTCCCTTGCGGAAGGCCAACTCTTCTGCACACTCGGGGACGTTGTCGTACAGGGCTCTTGCCATAAGATTCTGTGGAGAAACAAAAGCAAGAATAGCAAGTCAACAAACAAGCCAGAATTTTTCTGTATCTTCAAGCCCATTCTAAGTGATAGGAAATAAGAACTGAATTTGAAAAAGAAGTGGGCAGGAAATCAGAAGAACATGGAAAATCATGCAGCACAGGATTCCCCTGTCCCAAGTTGGGAAAATTAAGAGGCTTATGCATTAGCAACACTTCTAGTGAGAAATTTTTCAGAAACAGTGGGTCAGATAGAAGCTCTTTATATAGCCTAGTCACCTGAATAGACAGAAAGTTAGGAGAGTTCTGCTCCTGGCACTGAGGTGCTCTTCCTGTGAATGAGGGGCTTATACCGTCATCTCTTGCCATTGATTTCCCTACAAACATGCTCTGTGTACTGCTACAGCCAGTTAGCAGCCATTAAAAATAAACCTGAACAAGACTCAGAAGGAGTGAGTAATCCAGAGTAGTTTTTCCCAAACAGTTTTACATTTCTGGGGTCCCAAAAGACTTTCCACAGAGGTGCAGATCCCATTAGTGTAAAGACAGTGGCCTGGCTTTTTTTAGCTGACACCTGCAGTTGCCTTAGAAGTGATGGATCTCTGGACCACCTAGTAAGAAAAACTATCTAAAATACGAGCTGACAAAACGTCACAGGTTTTGAGCTATGATGCCCGTCTTTGCATGTAGCTTTGTGCCTTCTCACTCTATGCAAACTTCTTCAGGGGCAAAGCATAGCATAGCAGGAGCTTAACAGATAAAACCCTTCCTCCCCTGCTGCCTCAAAACCACCACCACAAAAAAAAAAAAAAATCCTCCAAAACAACTTCAAAGAACATGGTTCTTCTGAGGTCCACCTTCTGTAGAAAGTCCTTCAAGATAAAAATATAATTCTGAAAAATAATGTGCCCAGTGACCCCAAGTGGGGTCATGCCCATGCCATGAGGAAAGCACTGCCCATCTCAAAGAATGTAAGAATGTAGGTATCAACCAGCACCATAAAGAGCCTCTGTGTGTGACTTAAGAGGAGTCTTAGGGTAGCCAAGGAGTGTCTTTGACTTGTGTCAACATAGTTTAAGCACTCTTAGATACATTTTGCTTGATTATGTCAAGAGGAGCAGTACCATTAACACAATGAACTTCACACAACTCTACCCCCAAGCATTTACCCAGTGTTTCAGGCAGGCTTTGCAGCTTGCCCTGACTTCCATCCTGCTGGGGTTCTATTCCCAGCAGTACTTCTGCTATGAAGTTTTAAGCCAGCTTGGAGTTGATTTAAGACTATTGGCTGTGATGTGTTACTAGCAAGTACCACCTCCTCTTGCAGATTGAACTACCTCCCTTTCCTCTTTCTTTGCAGGCCTCTATGGCACATCCAGTTCTGAGTAACCAGCCAAGGTATTCAATGGAAAGTAGGCAGGCTGTCTGCACTAACATTCTTGGACCCCTCAAAAAGGCCATGAAGATTTAATTTCTTGGCTCTGGTGATATTTCCAGACATACTGGAAACAATTGCTCCATGACTGCCTGATTTTCAGTGAAGCTGATCAGCAGAGATGGTTATAATCTGATTGTAAGCACTTGAAAAAATATACAGAGCCCTGGGTCTGAAGTGTTCAAGCTGAAATATTTGGATGCAGTAGATGCAGTATACAAACTAAAATGGTGCTAATCCACCAAAAAGGATATGCGGCTGCCTTAAAGATTTATCTTTCCTATGTCAAAGGAATAAGCGTCAAGTACAGTTTAGTGTTTCTAGCTGTCATATTTATCCTCCTCCTTGGATATATCAGAACATTTTTTTATCATCCCTCACTTGTCATATCTTTCCCTGTTGACACACTGATGTTTTCCCATCATTCCTGTGCTTCCTCGAGACAGAGACTTTAGTTTGACCTTGCTCAGTGTAGCAGGTTGTGTGCAGGGCTGACTGGTGGATGGAAGGGGGTTAAGTTCAGATATCACATAAAAGGTAAGGGAACTTGCATTTCCCAAGACATGCAATGTTGAAATGGGGTGCACTAGATCAGTTTCCTCTTTTCTGAATGGGAGATCAGTTTTCAAATGTATGAGAAACACTGGCTTTACCTTTCATCAGCATCATTAGTGAGGTTGGTATAAATTAAGCTTTGGCTTGGAAAAGCAGGATTGCCATTTTGACCTCCCATGTAAACAGCAGTACTGGGGCCCACCATTCCCTCTGATGTACGCCTACTCAGCTCATCAGTCAACAACACTAAGGTATCTAAATACAGATAAAGCAGGGCACAAATTTTGTCTATGCCTTGGCAGGACTGTAAAACTATTATTTAAGCATGGTCAAAAACAGTGGTCTCTTCTTGAGCGCTACCTCTATGCTCTTGCTGTGTCAACCAGGCTGCTTAGCAGAGTCTGAAGCTCAGAAAACAAAAGCCCCTGCCTAATCTGAATATTCAAGTCAATCTCTTATCTTTCCACATCTCTTTCTAGCATGTCTTTCACAGGGGAAATCTACTAATGGGACCAGAGCCTGTGCAACTTAAAGAAGACTTTCACAGAGGAGTTGTTTAAAGGAGGAAGATTACAGCTGGGTGAGGGAGGCACTAACCAAGCAGGATAAATCAATGATAAATGCATATTCTTCTCTACTTTGTTGTTTAAAGGTATTTGAAAAGCTTGATTAGCTTCTACAGCAAAGAAATTCTCCGAACAAAGCTGAAATGGTGGTAGAATTAGAGCAGATAAAAATTCCCATGTGAATTTTTTTTTTCTAGCTGCTCATTATCTCTGTCCCAGTGACCTTCTCACCACCTGGCATGCAGCATGTTAACAAATTCTGGATGTGCTTCAAGAACTTCTTTGCTGCAAACAGCTTCAGATTCTCATTGTTGGTGTTAACTCAGGCACCAGTATGTGAGTTATACTAATTGGTTGCCACTTGTTTCACAGCCATTTCCCCAAGGCCTTTTAAATAAGCCAGAGCCATGCCATTAGCACCAGTCACTGATGGAGCAGTGAAGAAGGAAAAATATTCCTCCAAATGAGCACTGGGACCAGAAAGACTAAGCCTGTTGCTTGGTGCCAGCAGCAAAGGCACTGCTCCTGCTAAGCAAACCTTCTGTGTTTTCTCTGACTTCATTCTTCCTTCACAGGATTGCTTAGTGTGAGCTTCAGAAACAGTGTCACAGTCACTTTTCACGAGTCAGCAGAATCAGCCTTGAGAAAAATGCAATTGTGACCACAGAAAGAAAGCTTTTAGAAACCACAGAGGTACCTTTAACTTGCTGTGGTGATCAAGATGGTAGTCTCTTCCACACACAAAAGTACTGATCAAAGACGTCTTTCAACACCTGTGGGCCTTGTCTCCAAAGATTTGACAAATCTGAATAATTTTTTGATTCTGTGGGCATTGTAGCCCATATATCAATTCTCCTTCTCATTGGTCTCATAAGCTCAGAGAACAGGGACAGTTACATGAAATTAATTGGACTTGCTCTGAAGAGGCATGGATCTGTCCACTCAACTGTCTGAGAACCAGCACCAAGTAAGCGCTAAGATCTGATATGAGAAAACAAAAGCACAGCAGTGACCTTTTTGTATCACTAAGTGCTAAAAAAACCTTGGCCATTTCCTAAACAAATCAGCAACAGAGAAAGGGCAATGAGAAAATTGTCTTGGAACTTGTTTTCACAACTGATAAGTTGCACAGAAGTCTCTTTATATTCCCAATAAAAAGAAAAAAAAGGGAAGGCAACAGACGCAGAACTACAAATTCAAGTTCTGTAAAGGCAGGGGGGAAATTACCTGATGCTAGATAGGGAAAAGAAATTCTTTTGCTATAGAAATTGGCTGCATTTCATAAAATAAAGATACTGGCAACGACCACCTTCTTTTAATAAGACTAATACTGGAAGTGCCTGCTGCTCTCCTTTGGTTCAGTTAAATTAACTATGTGATAGGCGCAGTGGTGCACTCTTCACAAGGTGTCACACCTTGCTAGCAATACTGGGATCTCTGGAAGCTGAAGCCAGGGTCGGGCCCTCACAGTGTTAATGCTCTGTACAAGCAAAACAAAAAAACTCCACATTTGTTCTCAAGAAGCTTAAATTCCTCTTAACCTTGGGCTCATGAGTGCAGTAGAAAGCATCTTATGCAAAATCACTGATAACTGGAAGTTTTACAGTCTTCTGTTGAAAAAAGTGCTATCTCAGTTGTCAGCAGGTCAAAATGAAAGGGAGTCTGACCCTAAAGACTGCTGCCTGGGGATTTTAGCTGGAACATACTGCAGGAAAAGGCTCAGCAGACTCTGCTGATGCCATGTGTCAGAAATTGTCTAAAATAAATGGAACTGAAACAGATACTCTCAAGATTAAATGCAAATTACAGTGCCCAACTTCCTACATTGATTGAGACAAAAGTAAAGCTTTTGAGCTCTCTCTAGGTAAAGTGAACCTGGGATTTGAAACTTCTGTCTGAAATTTCCTTTAATGCCATTTGAAGTCCATTAGATAAAAGCTGGAAAGGTGCAATTTGTATTCTCTGCATGCCTTAGAGTTTTCTTTCTTTTGCACCTGGGATGCATGACCCAGTAAGCTAAAGATGCTGTTCTGAAAACTGTCAGCTGTACTACTTGCAGAACCCAAACTAAATAAATAAGACTCTGTAAGCTATTTTTCTTCTCAAATCTTGAAGGAACTACAGGCCAAATTCAGCTGTATAAAGGAGGTCTATTACAGAACTGTCAAAGGTGTCTACCCTCTCCTTAGCCTATTGCAATTGATGGCTGACACATCTGCAGCTGGATGAAGACGCATGAAAATACTTTGAAGATCACGATCTGTTTTGGCTGCCCTTCTCTGCAGTGAGGAGAACTGACAGAATTCTGTAATTCATAGTCTGGAGGATGAAGAGGGTGTTTGTTGATGAGGCTAAGTGGCAGAAGAGGGAAGAGGCAAGAGTTAAGAGAGTAGTGGAAACATCTCCCACTTCTGTTAGAGTAAACACATCCAGTGACGTGAGTAACGAGAGTGTG